GACTCTGTATGCGTTGCCGTTTTTCAGTTTCCGTGTGCTCAATTTCCCTACTTTTCTTCATCTGTCTGCCATAACTCAGTTTCCTTCTTAACACTGTTTCCTAACTTCTGCCGCTTCCATTACACAGGAGATGCAGCAGAGGCGACGAGGAGCAGCGGGTGCGGAGGAGCAGGAGAAGTCGCCTCTGCTCTTCTCTGGTAAGCCTCCTCTTCTCGCCTTAATTCATTTTGCATTGACTCTGTATGCGTTGCCGTTTTTCAGTTTCCGTGTGCTCAATTTCCCTACCTTTCTTCATCTGTCTGCCATTACTCAGTTTCCTTCTTAACACTGTTTCCTAACTTCTGCCTCTTCCATTACACAGGAGATGCAGCAGAGGCGACGAGGAGCAGCGGGTGCGGAGGAGCAGGAGAAGTCGCCTCTGCTCTTCTCTGGTAAGCCTCCTCTTCTCGCCTTAATTCATTTTGCATTGACTCTGTATGCGTTGCCGTTTTTCAGTTTCCGTGTGCTCAATTTCCCTACTTTTCTTCATCTGTCTGCCATAACTCTGTTTCCTTCATCTGTCTCCCTTAGCACTGTTTCCTAAATCCTGCCTCTTCCATTTCACAGGAGATGCAGCAGAGGCGGCAAGGAGCAGAGGGAGCGGAGGAACAGGAGCAATCGCCTCTGCTTTTCTCTGGTAAGCCATTTTTTTCGCCATTTCTCGGTTTCTGTGAGCTCAATCTGTCTGCATTGCTCTGTTTTGTTCATCTGTCTGCATTGCTCTGTTTCGTTCATCTGTCTGCATTGCTCTGTTTCCTTCATCTGTCTGCATTGCTCTGTTTCCTTCATCTGTCTGCATTGCTCTGTTTCCTTCATCTGTCTGCATTGCTCTGTTTCCTTCATCTGTCTGCATTGCTCTGTTTCCTTCATCTGTCTGCATTGCTCTGTTTCCTTCATCTGTCTCCATTGCTCTGTTTCCTTCATCTGTCATAACATTGTTTCCTAAGGTTTGTTTGCACTGATTCTGTTTCCCTGGGCTCGTTCTTTTTGCCTGGTCAGTTCAGAGGAGAAGTGGAGCAGGGGACAGCAGAGGACAGCAGAGGACAGCAGAGGACAGCAGAGGACAGCAGAGGACAGCAGAGGACAGCAGAGGACAGCAGAGGACAGCAGAGGACAGCAGAGGACAGCAGAGGACAGCAGAGGACGGCAGAGAACAGCAGAGGACAGCAGAGGGTCAGAGGTGAAGTGGAATGGTGTGGGGTGGGGTGGGGTGGGGTGGGGTGGTGTGGCGTGGTGTGGTGTGGGTGTGGTGTGGAGTGGAGTGGTGTGGTGTGGTGTGGTGTGGTGTGGTGTGGTGTGGTGTGGTGTGGTGTGGTGTGGCGTGCATGGTGTGGAGTGATGTGGAGTGCCTGGTGTGGTGTGGAGTGGTGTGGTGTGGTGTGGTTTGGTGTGGTGTGGTTTGGTGTGGAGTGCCTGGTGTGGTGTGGAGTGGTGTGGAGTGCCTGGTGTGGTGTGGAGTGGTGTGGAGTGCCTGGTGTGGTGTGGAGTGGTGTGGTGTGGTGTGGTGTGGTGTGGTGTGGTGTGGTGTGGTGTGGTGTGGTGTGGTGTGGTGTGGAGTGGTGTGGAGTGCCTGGTGTGGTGTGGAGTGGTGTGGTGTGGTGTGGTGTGGTGTGGTGTGGTGTGGTGTGGAGTGGTGTGGAGTGCCTGGTGTGGTGTGGAGTGGTGTGGAGTGGTGTGGAGTGCCTGTGTGGTGGTGTGGTGTGGTGTGGTGTGGTGTGGTGTGGTGTGGTGTGGAGTGGTGTGGAGTGCCTGGTGTGGTGTGGAGTGGTGTGGTGTTTGTGGTGTGGTGTGGTGTGGTGTGGTGTGGTGTGGAGTGGTGTGGAGTGCCTGGTGTGGTGTGGAGTGGTGTGGTGTGGTGTGGTGTGGTGTGGTGTGGTGTGGTGTGGTGTGGTGTGGTGTGGAGTGGTGTGGAGTGCCTGGTGTGGTGTGGTGTGGTGTGGTGTGGTGTGGTGTGCCTGGTGTGGTGTGGAGTGGTGTGGTGTGGTGTGGTGTGGTGTGGAGTGCCTGGTGTGGTGTGGAGTGGTGTGGAGTGGTGTGGTGTGGTGTGGTGTGGTGTGCCTAGTGTGGTGTGGAGTGGTGTGCTGTGGTGTGCTGTGGTGTGCTGTGGTGTGCTGTGGTGTGTGTGGTGTGTGTGGTGTGTGTGTGGTGTGTGGTGTGGTGTGGTGTGGAGTGGTGTGGAGTGCTTGGTGTGGTGTGGAGTGGTGTGGTGTGGTGTGCCTGGTGTGGTGTGGAGTGGTGTGGTGTGGTGTGGTGTGGTGTGGTGTGGTGTGTTGTTACCTTTTTTTCCCCCTCTCTCTCTCCCCTCTCTTCCCTCCCTCCCTCCCCCCACCCCCTCCCCCCAACAGGTGTCCTAAGCGAAAGCCCCCACCTCAACGTGGTGCTTAGGTGTAACGCAGGGGGCTTGCCTCCCTGCGGCCAAGAGGGGCCCAACATTCCGAACTCGTGGACAGTGGAGCAGCGCGTCAGAGCTCGTGGGCAGTGGAGCAGTGCGTCAGAGCTCGTGGACAGTGGAGCAGCACCCCATACCATAGCAATTGTGATGGAATAATTAGATAATAATTGCTACCTTGTGTGCATGTAGCGCTGTAGACTTGCTGCCATGATACCGGAACAATTGACATTAAGGTTCAGTAACATCAGAGTAATAATATTCAGGAAACTAATGCAATCAGTGAACCCGTGGCGCTAGCATTAACGATATTTACATCCTAGCAGTAGATATTTACTACTACTGGCGCATGCAGTTTCAACTAGACAGGACCCACTGCATGTACCGTAGAGGCACTGTCCTCCAGAGGGCATAGGTACCTGTTGTCATACTCGGCTGTGTGGTCAGGGAGGAGCAAGGGAAGGGAGGCCAGTCGACCATGGAGAAGAGTGGCGATGAGGCCCTGCAAGGGCCACTGAAGCTGATGTTACCTGAAAACTTCTTAGTGGCAGTACATAGTCTCTGGTGTATCATGACCATGAAAAAGAGAATGTGCATTGCACTGATTTGAGACACTACTCAGACAAGCTGTCTTGTAACGTGTTTCACAATCAGCTCACTTTCCTTGGCAAGCTAACCACAGTCCACCCAGCTGCAGCTGCGTTTTCCACCACACAGCCACCAGTCTGATCCACTCCTCCCCCCTCCACCATCTCTTCATCTTCCTTTTCCTGCCATCCCATATTTTCTCCACCACTCAATCCACTGGGGTCACCACAACCTATGTCAACAGGCCGATCAGATCGACCAATGACAGCTGAAGCAGGCTTTAGGCCAGCCGCTAGAGCAAGCTCTGAGCGACCCGAGGCAGGGAGGGGAAGGATGCGGATGCGGCGAGTGGGGGGAGAGCCAGCGTACTGCCAGGAGAGGGGGTAGTCGTTGAGCAGCTGCAGCTGCAGGGAGAGGATGCGGGGGGTGCGTGGTAGCAGTTCCACTGCTTGTGCTGCGCTCGCCATCATGCTCTCCGCTGCCAGCCGCGCCTCCTGACGGGTGCAGGCGGATAGAGCAGGAGGGTAGGACAGAAGGATAACACAACGGATTAGCAATAACCACATAGAAGAGAGATTGGCAGGAAAAAAAAGGCCTACCTAATGGAAAATAATGGAAAATAATGGAAAATAATGGAAAATAATAGAATGAGCCATGCTCTCTCTTTAATGTCATTGGATGGGAGTGTACTCGGGGATGAGAAAGGGATCAAGGGTGGACAAGGGGGCGAGGGAACCACAGACGAGTACTGTACTTGTCTGGAGCACACGAGTTGGGCAGCCGGGCATGGTGCACTGGCTCTGGCCCACTGCAGTCAGCAGCACCATCACTTCACGGCACTCACCCCATCACCTCGAGTGCATCACCTCGAGTGCATCACCTCGAGTGCATCACCTCTAGTGCATCACCTCGAGTGCATCACCTCGAGTGCATCACCTCGAGTGCATCACCTCTAGTGCATCACCTCGAGTGCATCACCTCGAGTGCATCACCTCTAGTGCATCACCTCGAGTGCATCACCTCGAGTGCATCACCTCGAGTGCATCACCTCTAGTGCATCACCTCGAGTGCATCACCTCTAGTGCATCACCTCTAGTGCATCACCTCGAGTGCATCACCTCTAGTGCATCACCTCTAGTGCATCACCTCTAGTGCATCACCTCGAGTGCATCACCTCTAGTGCATCACCTCTAGTGCATCACCTCGAGTGCATCACCTCTAGTGCATCACCTCTAGTGCATCACCTCTAGTGCATCACCTCTAGTGCATCACCTCTAGTGCATCACCTCTAGTGCATCAATCTCGTCCTCCAACGAGCCTCCGCCAGCCCCTCTCGTCGCCGCCTCCTCCTCTCCAGCCCCACCCACCCAACTGCCACTGCTGCTGTTACTGCCACTCATGCTGATTTCATCTTGCATGATGGAGAGTTGGTCAGCAGCTGTGGCTGGTGGTGTGGCTGGTGCAGCAGCTGTGACGGGAGAAAGATAAGCAGCCGGGGAAGAGCGAGGCAGGGAGGCGGAGAACGAGGAGGTGGATGAGGAGGAGGGAGGAGGAGAGGCGAGGGTGGGGAGGTTGAGGATGGCACGGAGGGCCCGCACCACCTGAGACGCCGTGTTGGCCTGGGGAGGAACACACAGAGAGGGGGAGGGGGGCAGAGAGCATGCGAGGAGAGAGAGGCGAGTGAACGGCATTGTGACAACATGCTGAAAACATTATACGCAGGGACGGGGGGTCAAATAAATGTGGTGGAAAGTGAATGCACGGATTTGAGTACACGGAGGGTCGAATGTCTCAGTTCTTCATGAACGGACAGGTGGCACTTCTCGAACCTGCCTCGCCCCTCTCCTGAGCGCCCGAGCCCACCTTGATGACATAGATGGGGAGGTGGCGAACTTTAGCAACCCCTCTGAGCCACGCATTGCCCTTGAGCTTAGAGCGCAGCGCCAGCACCTCTCAACCCGGCTTCACCCCTCTCGACCCTGCCTCACCCCTCACTAAAGCCCACCTTTACGGCGTAGATGGGGAGGTGGCGAAATTTGGCAACCCCGCGCAGCCACGCGTTGCCCTTGAGCTTGGAGCGCAGGGCCAGCACGGCGTCTGCTGCTGCAATGTCCGTTGTGAGGGTGATGAGCGGCGCCAGCCCCATCACCTCCACCACCTGCTCCACATGCTCCTCTGATACCTGCAAGCAAAGGAATGGCATTTGAGTTGACTCGAAAGTCGAACATTAGTGCGGTCGGTCCGTAGTGCCAAGAGGCCGCCAGCCCCATCACCTTCACCTTCACCACCTGCTCCACGTGCTCCTCTGATACCTGCTCACAGGGGAATTGACAATGAATGGTGGAGTTAAAGAAAGTCGGACCCAGCACAGGCATGCAGCAAATGCACACACAACAGAACCCAACCTGGTAGAGATTGAGTGTTCTCAAACGCAAACAGCACATCTGGTTGAGTTGTCGGAGCACGTGGCCTGGGCAAACGCTGAAAGGCCACAGGCGCATTGCCTTGAGACCAGGATAGTGATGGTGATGGTGATGGTGATGGTGATGGTGATGCTGATGCTGATGCTGATGCTGATACGCTGATGCTGATGCTGATGCTGATGCTGATGCGCTGATGCTGATGCGCTGATGCTGATGCTGATGCTGATACGCTGATGCTGATGCTGATGCTGATGCGCTGATGCGCTGATGCAGATGCAAATGCTGATGCACTGATGCTGATGCTGATGCTGATGCTGATGCTAATGCTGATGCTGATGCTGATGCTGATGCGCTGATGCTGATGCGCTGATGCTGATGCGCTGATGCTGATGCGCTGATGCTGATGCTGATGCTGATGCGCTGATGCTGATGCGCTGATGCTGATGCGCTGATGCTGATGCGCTGATGCTGATGCTGATGCTGATGCTGATGCTAATGCTGATGCTGATGCTGATGCTGATGCGCTGATGCTGATGCTGATGCTGATGCGCTGATGCTGATGCTGATGCGCTGATGCTGATGCGCTGATGCTGATGCTGATGCTGATGCGCTGATGCTGATGCTGATGCTGATGTTGATGCTGATGCTGATGCTGATGCGCTGATGCTGATGCGCTGATGCTGATGCTGATGTGCTGATGCTGATGCTGATGCTGATGATGCTGATGCCGATGCTGATGCTGATGCTGATGCTAATGCTGATGCTGATGCTGATGCTGATGCTGATGCGCTGATGCTGATGCTGATGCTGATTGAGAGTTCTCAAACGCAAACAGCACGTCTGGTTGAGTTGTCGGAGCACGTGGCCTGGGCAAACGCTGAAAGGCCACAGGCGCAATGCCTTGAGACCAGGATGGTGATGGTGATGCTGATGCTGATGCTGATGCTGATACGCTGATGCTGATGCTGATGCTGATTCTGATGCTGATGCTGATGCGCTGATGCTGATGCTGATGCTGATTCTGATGCTGATGCTGATGCTGATGCGCTGATGCGCTGATGCTGATGCACTGATGCTGATGCTGATGCTGATGCTAATGCTGATGCTGATGCTGATGCTGATGCGCTGATGCTGATGCGCTGATGCTGATGCGCTGATGCTGATGCGCTGATGCTGATGCTGATGCTGATGCGCTGATGCTGATGCGCTGATGCTGATGCGCTGATGCTGATGCTGATGCTGATGCTGATGCTGATGCTGATACGCTGATGCTGATGCGCTGATGCTGATGCTGATGCGCTGATGCTGATGCTGATGCTGATGCGCTGATGCTGATGCTGATGCGCTGATGCTGATGCTGATGCGCTGATGCTGATGCGCTGATGCTGATGCGCTGATGCTGATGCGCTGATGCTGATGCTGATGCTGATGCTGATGCTGATGCTGATGCTGATGCTGATGCGCTGATGCGCTGATGCGCTGATGCTGATGCTGATGCTGATGCGCTGATGCTGATGCTGATGCGCTGATGCTGATGCTGATGCTGATGCTGATGCTGATGTGCTGATGCTGATGCGCTGATGCTGATGCTGATGCTGATGCGCTGATGCTGATGCGCTGATGCTGATGCTGATGCTGATGCGCTGATGCTGATGCTGATGCTGATGCGCTGATGCTGATGCTGATGCGCTGATGCTGATGCGCTGATGCTGATGCTGATGCGCTGATGCTGATGCTGATGCTGATGCGCTGATGCTGATGCGCTGATGCTGATGCGCTGATGCTGATGCGCTGATGCTGATGCTGATGCGCTGATGCGCTGATGCTGATGTGCTGATGCTGATGCTGATGCTGATGATGCTGATGCCGATGCTGATGCTGATGCTGATGCTAATGCTGATGCTGATGCTGATGCTGATGCGCTGATGCTGATGCTGATGCGCTGATGCTGATGCTGATGCTGATGCGCTGATGCTGATGCTGATGCTGATGCGCTGATGCGCTGATGCTGATGCTGATGCTGATGCTGATGCTGATGTGCTGATGCTGATGCGCTGATGCTGATGCTGATGCTGATGCTGATGCGCTGATGCTGATGCGCTGATGCTGATGCTGATGCTGATGCTAATGCTGATGCTGATGCTGATGCTGATGCGCTGATGCTGATGCTGATGCTGATGCGCTGATGCTGATGCGCTGATGCTGATGCTGATGCGCTGATGCTGATGCGCTGATGCTGATGCGCTGATGCGCTGATGCTGATGCACTGATGCTGATGCTGATGCGCTGATGCTGATGCGCTGATGCTGATGCTGATGCGCTGATGCTGATGCTGATGCTGATACGCTGATGCTGATGCGCTGATGCTGATGCTGATGCGCTGATGCTGATGCTGATGCTGATACGCTGATGCTGATGTGCTGATGCTGATGCTGATGCTGATGCTGATGCTGATGCTGATGCGCTGATGCTGATGCGCTGATGCTGATGCTGATGCTGATGCGCTGATGCTGATGCTGATGCTGATATGCTGATGCTAATGCTGATGCTGATGCGGATGGTGATGCTGATGCGCTGATGCTGATGCTGATGCTGATGCTGATGCTGATATGCTGATGCTGATGCGCTGATGCTGATGCTGATGCTGATGCGCTGATGCTGATGCGCTGATGCTGATGCTGATGCTGATGCGCTGATGCTGATGCTGATGCGCTGATGCTGATGCTGATACTGATGCGCTGATGTTGATGCTGATGCGCTAATGCTGATGCGCTAATTCTGATGCTGATGCGCTGATGCTGATGCGCTGATGCTGATGCTGATGCTGATGATGCTGATGTGCTGATGCTGATGCTGATGCTGATGTTGATGCTGATGCTGATGCTGATGCACTGATGCTGATGCTGATGCTGATGCTGATGCTGATGCTAATGCTGATGCTGATGCTGATGCTGATGCGCTGATGCTGATGCTGATGCTGATGCGCTGATGCGCTGATGCGCTGATGCTGATGCGCTGATGCTGATGCTGATGCTGATGCTGATGCGCTGATGCTGATGCTGATGCTGATGCGCTGATGCTGATGCGCTGATGCTGATGCGCTGATGCTGATGCTGATGCGTTGATGCTGATGCTGATGCGCCAATGCCGATGCTGATGCTGATGCTGATGCGCTGATGCTGATGCTGATGCTGATGCGCTGATGCTGATGCTGATGCGCTGATGCTGATGGTGATGCTGATGCTGATGCTGATGCTGATGCTGATGCGCTGATGCTGATGCTGATGCTGATGCTGATGCACTGATGCTGATGCTGATGCTGATGCTGATGCTGATGCGCTGATGCTGATGCTGATGCGCTGATGCGCTGATGCTGATGCTGATGTGCTGATGCTGATGCTGATGCTGATGCGCTGATGCTGATGCTGATGCGCTGATGCTGATGCGCTGATGCTGATGCTGATGCTGATGCGCTGATGCTGATGCTGATGCTGATGCGCTGATGCTGATGCGCTGATGCTGATGCTGATGCTGATGCTGATGCTGATGCGCTGATGCTGATGCTGATGCTGATGCGCTGATGCTGATGCTAATGCTGATGCTGATGCTAATACGCAGATGCTGATGCGCTGATGCTGATGCGCTGATGCTGATGCTAATACGCAGATGCTGATGCGCTGATGCTGATGCTGATGCTGATGCTTATGCTGATACTGATGCGCTGATGTCGATGCTGATGCGCTGATGCTGATGCTGATGCTGATGCTGATGCTGATGCTAATACGCAGATGCTGATGCGCTGATGCTGATGCTGATGCTGATGCTGATGCTGATGCTGATGCACTGATGCTGATGCTGATGCTGATGCTGATGCTGATGCTGATGCTGATGCTGATGCTGATGCGCTGATGCTGATGCTGATGCTGATGCTGATGCTGATGCTGATGCGCTGATGCTGATGCGCTGATGCTGATGCGCTGATGCTGATGCTGATGCTGATGCGCTGATGCTGATGCTGATGCTGATGCGCTGATGCTGATGCTGATGCTGATGCGCTGATGCTGATGCTGATGCTGATGCGCTGATGCTGATGCTGATGCTGATGCGCTGATGCTGATGCTGATGCGCTGATGCTGATGCGCTGATGCTGATGCGCTGATGCTGATGTGCTGATGCTGATGCTGATGCTGATGCTGATGCTGATGCGCTGATGCTGATGCGCTGATGCTGATGCTGATGCGCTGATGCTGATGCTGATGCTGATGCGCTGATGCTGATGCTGATGCTGATGCGCTGATGCTGATGCGCTGATGCTGATGCTGATGCTGATGCGCTGATGCGCTGATGCTGATGCTGATGCTGATGATGCTGATGCGCTGATGCTGATGCGCTGATGCTGATGCTGATGCTGATGCTGATGCGCTGATGCTGATGCTGATGCGCTGATGCGCTGATGCTGATGCTGATGCTGATGCTGATGCTGATGCTGATGTGCTGATGCTGATGCGCTGATGCTGATGCTGATGCTGATGCGCTGATGCTGATGCGCTGATGCTGATGCTGATGCTGATGCTAATGCTGATGCTGATGCTGATGCTGATGCGCTGATGCTGATGCTGATGCTGATGCGCTGATGCTGATGCTGATGCGCTGATGCTGATGCGCTGATGCTGATGCGCTGATGCTGATGCTGATGCGCTGATGCTGATGCTGATGCTGATGCGCTGATGCTGATGCGCTGATGCTGATGCGCTGATGCTGATGCGCTGATGCTGATGCTGATGCTGATGCGCTGATGCGCTGATGCGCTGATGCTGATGCGCTGATGCTGATGCTGATGCTGATGCTGATGCGCTGATGCTGATGCTGATGCTGATGCGCTGATGCTGATGCGCTGATGCTGATGCGCTGATGCTGATGCTGATGCGTTGATGCTGATGCTGATGCGCCAATGCCGATGCTGATGCTGATGCTGATGCGCTGATGCTGATGCTGATGCTGATGCGCTGATGCTGATGCTGATGCGCTGATGCTGATGGTGATGCTGATGCTGATGCTGATGCTGATGCGCTGATGCTGATGCTGATGCTGATGCTGATGCACTGATGCTGATGCTGATGCTGATGCTGATGCTGATGCGCTGATGCTGATGCTGATGCGCTGATGCGCTGATGCTGATGCTGATGTGCTGATGCTGATGCTGATGCTGATGCTGATGCTGATGCGCTGATGCTGATGCTGATGCGCTGATTGTGATGCTGATGCGCTGATGCTGATGCTGATGCTGATGCGCTGATGCGCTGATGCTGATGCGCTGATGCTGATGCGCTGATGCTGATGCTGATGCGCTGATGCGCTGATGCCCATGCAAATGCTGATGCACTGATGCTGATGCTGATGCTGATGCTGATGCTAATGCTGATGCTGATGCTGATGCTGATGCGCTGATGCTGATGCGCTGATGCTGATGCGCTGATGCTGATGCGCTGATGCTGATGCTGATGCTGATGCGCTGATGCTGATGCGCTGATGCTGATGCGCTGATGCTGATGCGCTGATGCTGATGCTGATGCTGATGCTGATGCTAATGCTGATGCTGATGCTGATGCTGATGCTAATGCTGATGCTGATGCTGATGCGCTGATGCTGATGCTGATGCGCTGATGCTGATGCGCTGATGCTGATGCTGATGCTGATGCTGATGCGCTGATGCTGATGCTCTGATGCTGATGCGTTGATTGCTGA